AAAAAAGACAGCGATAGGCCAGAACAACAAGATTTAAAGTGCCCCTATTATGGATTTAAAAAAAAAAATCTTTTATGCAGTGTGTAATGTAGCTGTATGTGAATGTAAACAGTCTGTAAAGTTGAAAGTGCATCATAAATAAAGTTATTTTATCTCAAAAGAAAGAGTTGACTCTAACTAGCTCATTTGGATTTCGAATCTATTTTCGTGAAGTTCATACATCACAACTTACTACATTTGCATAATGCCCACCTACATTCTGCGTGGACAAGACATCTTGCTGTAGCTCGTTCGTGAGGATATCATGTGGTCAAGATGCTGTGCTCTCTGCTGTGAGAGTAAATACGGTTTATTTTCACTTACAAAGGATCAAGCTGTAAAGAATCAGTGGTTAAAATTCACAGCAGTATGATCCCAAACTTTTGCTTTTTTCCCTTCATTTGGTTACACTTTATTTCGATAGTCACTTTAGACGTTCTACTAATTATAAGTAAATTTTCAACTACGTGTCAACTAACTCTAATTAGAGTATTAGTATATTATAGTAGACTGTCAGTAGACTGTTAGGTTATGGTTAGGTGTTAGGCTTTGGGTTAGGAGAATAAGTTTACTTGTAGTCGCCAAGTTACTTATAGTAAGTTGAATGTCTGTTGGGGGACCAACAATATAAAAAGTGTTAGCAGATATTAGGTTGACAGTCTACTAATACTCTAATGACAGTTAGTTGATATGTAGTTGAAAAGTTACTTATAGTTAGTAGAATGTCTAAAGTGGACTATCGAAATAAAGTGTTACCCTTCATTTTACTGACTACTGTTTTAACGTGATTCACAATACGCTTGCTTGCTGCTGGTTTTTTTTTTTTTTTTTCAGACATGCGCTGTAAGCAGTTGACTAATCAAAACAGACTGGGATGTCTGGCTAATCAGAGCAGAGCAGCTCACGGAAAGGAGGGTTTCGAGAGATTGATTCTCTGAGAATCAATGAAAAACGTGGTGATGTGCAAATATATATTCTGAATCTGAGGAAATGAAACAGTGTTTTGAGCTTTGATGCATGTAAACCTGTTGTAGGAGACTCCACAACAACATTAGGAGACTTTAAAAAAATAGCATAATAGGGGCACTTTAAAAAAGAACAAGTTTTTAGAAATATGTTTTAAGATTCATGTTTCCTTTAACACCTTTAACATGTTTCCTTCTTCTTAGTAGTGCTGTCAAATCTATTAACTTTCAGATGGTCTTCGTTTCCTGTTTACACGTCTATACGACCCCAACAATTGATTAATTGTATAAAACATATACATTTTTAATCATACAAATAATATATCTTTTTTTTGTTTTCTTCACATCTATTTATTAATGCTGTGTTTTTGGAGATATAAAGTACTTTTGTATCCATATACCACACAATTCCTCAACTACACCATTAGCTTACATTTGAATTATTTTATTTTATTTTTTTATGATACATTGCATTTATACTCTAGTACTAAGCCTTCATTTCTGTGGAAAAAGTTTCAGATTTATGCTGGATTTTTTTTTTTTTTGGACACATGAAGAAAATATATTTAGTTTTTTTTTTCACATTTCCCATTTATTTCAATGTGGGGTCATATTGACCCCGAAGACCAGAAGAGTAAATATTTATTTTTTACATACCTTCAGAACAACCGAATCAAGCCCAGTTTTTTGTGTGTATAGATAGATAATGTATGAAAAGTCACAAAATCTTATTCCACTGAGATGAAGGGAACCTTTTTTTTATTAAGCAAAAGTCGATTGGGGTCATATAGACCCCATGACCCAATTGAGGGCTAATCGCAGCTAACATAAGTCTTTGTTTACATAATATACTGTGTGTGTCTCTATACATGTTATTATATTTATAATATATATATGTATATGTCTGTGTGTGAGAGTGTATGCATATATATATATATATATATATATATATATATATATATATTATATATATATAATTATAATATATAAAAATATATATAATATAATATAATAATATATATATATAATATTATATATATATATATATATATATATATATATATATTAGGGGTGGCATGGTTCACGAAACTGACGGTTCGGTTTGTATCACGGTTTTAGTGTTACGGTTTTCGGTTCTGTACGGTTCTTGTTATTTTTTCCTTTTAATCTTTAACACTCCAGAAATGTACTTCAGCATGTGATATAATTATCCACACTTAGGATACAGTATAAAAAAATTATATTCATGCAATCATGCACAAACTGAATTTGACTCTTTGACTTTAAGCACATTTTGGGACTATCTCAGAGGAAAGCTAGGTGAGATTTTGATACAGCAAGAGAGAAGACATTGACATGCTTTTCGTTTATATGGCAAAAAAAGGAGAATGTGTATCACTATCTCTACAAGAACTTGTGCATTTTTATCACATAAAATCTTATTTACACAAAGAAATTAACTTGCATTTATCAACTGACAACTTTTGTAGCTCTTACAAAAATTCTATCTTTTAAAAGAAAAAAAGAGGAACTACACTGTCTTTTATGAATAAGTATACATGAAACCTCATTGCCTATAATTAGGCTAGCAATAGCAAAGGCCATAAACATAAAGTGAAACATAAGTTCAACCTCAACACAAAAACAGTATCAACAATGCTTCTATTCCCAAAAAGTGAGGGTACCTTTTTTTGTTCACTTGAAATTAAAGTGCAGGATTTGGAAACGACTGGAGCTCTTATCTAAACATAAAGTGCCACTGTAACGTTATATTAAAATATCATAACATGAAATCCAAAATGTTCCCACACACCGGACTTATAGGACGCTGGCGCATTCTCCAACTCCCTCATCTCTCTCACTTGCCATTTCTCCGCGTGCCGTGACCTGCAGCGCTCCATACTCCACTTTTACTGGCTTGTTTACTATCTTGAACCGGCGCTGCACAGAGCGATCGGTAATGACATCAAATACCGCGAAAGTGAGTGACGGAGCCGTCGTACCCGCTCTAGTTTGATGTTATTCACCGGTCGCTCTGTGCAGCGCCGGTCCAAGTCGAACAAGCTTATGTCACGCGAAAAGAAAACACACGTCACATACGGGCACGAGGCTACATTGCGCATGCGTCGAACCGTGAGACGCACACACGCTCCGAACCGAGACAAGCGAACCGAACGGTTCGGGTGTTTTTTCATGTACCGTGCCACCCCTAATATATATATATACACACACACACACACACACACACACACACACACATAAACAAAGGCTTTTATGTTGCGATTAATCAAGATTAATTGATTTCACAGCACTAATTAGTGACCAATTTTAAATTTTAATTTTATTTTCTAATTTTATTACTTGCATGATAAAAAAAAGGCGAGGGGAGGAAACTAAAAAAAAAAAACGACTCAAAAACATGAAAAATAAAATGTTGACTAAAATATTTAAAGTATTTTCGATCAGTTCTCACCTTTGCTTTGTTCTCCAGCAAAACTCACATGGCCACACATTTCCCTCAGTTTGATGTTCAGCTCCTGATTTGCTATTTTGCAGAAGTTAAGCTCTTTGCTGAGGTTGTGGATCAAGCACTCATACTGCCGCTGTCTACCAGCCAGACCCTCATCCATTTGCTCTGGAAACACAATAAATCGTCAATGCTTTCACTTTATTTGCTCAATGCAAATCCGTGGATAGTATTTCCAGTTCAGAAATATAGCTGCTATGAACAAACCAGAGATACATTCTCCAGTGATGTTTTGCATTACACATTAGCAGTGGCTATGTTCTGCAACCATGGATAATAGAGCATAAAACGGATAAATCTAGTGAATGTTCTAGAGTCTGTGCTTATGTGGATGAAGACTCAAACCTCGGCACTGCTGCAGCAGAAGCTGGATGTTTCTCTCGTGTTCTTTCTGCTGCTGGGTGAGTCTGCGATCCGCCTCGAGCTGCTGTCTTTCCAGAGCTGCTTCCAACCACACAACCAAATTCTGCTGCTCCTCGACTCTCAACTCCAGCTCAGCTAGAGCCAGCTGCAGCCTCCGTTCTTCCTCTCGAAGACACACAACCTTTTCAACACACACCAAGCATCAGTGGTGGAATGTAACGAAGTACAAATACTTTTTTACTTTACTTAAGTACATTTTTCACGTATCTTTACTTTACTTAAGTAGAATAAATAGCGCATACTTTTTACTTTTACTTCGTTACATTTTGCAGCAATTATTATACTTTCTACTCCACTTCATTTCTACAACTTCTGTTACATTTTCATTACATTTTCTTATGTTTTTCCCCCTGCCAAAACGTAATCTGACCGTCCATCCGTTGCACGTTTGTCTCACCAGTGACGTTTGGTTGCCATAGAGCCTCCATTTGTGCACTCAGGTCTAAGTCCCATGGCCCTCTATCAGAATCCAGAGTTTCAAGAAGATTGGTCGAAATTTTGAGTTTCTCTGATCTTCTTGAAACTCTGGATTCTGATAGAGGGCCATGGGACTTAGACCTGAGTGCAAAAAATAGAGGCTCTAGACCCTTCCAGAGCTGAGATATTGAGATACCACGTAGCATTTATGCCATTATAAATATCTCAATATCTCAGCTCTGGAAGGGTCTAGAGCCTCTATTTTTTGCACTCAGGTCTAAGTCCCATGGCCCTCTATCAGAATCCAGAGTTTCAAGAAGATTGGATCTCGCACGCAGTGCGTTCATAGTGCAATTTATACGCGAAAATTAGTTTTTACATGCATAGGAAACACACCGTGTGTAATATACGTTTGGTTAGGATTATGGCAAGCCAAGAGGTTCAGAATTACACCATAAATTAATCGCGTTTACTGCCATAGTTATTAACATGATGTGTATATTGCCTAATTGCAAGCTTGTTTCAGAAATGGTGACAACATTTTTTTTCCATCATTATTGAACATCATTATAGGAGTATTAGGTTGAATGAGTTAGAATTAAATGTTTTATTAATCATTAGAAAATAGACATTAAGAAAATAAATTATGCAAGTACTTTTACTTTTAATACTTAAAGTACATTTAAAATCAGGTACTTTTTACTATGGTTGTCATTGTGTTACTTCTACTTTTACTAAAGTAAATATTTATCTGGTTATTTTTTACTTAAGTACTGAGATTCAGTACTTCCTCCACCACTGCCAAGCATTATATCATACAATTGCTTTGCTAAAAAGTGGCCGGTCAAGCTGATAAACAAATATTTCAATTTACTTGAAAAGCACTTTCACAATGCATGCTGTTCCAAAGATCACACAACACAAGTCTTCACCTTTCCCTGATGTGTTAAAATGTGAAACAGCTAAACTAATAAGTTGTATTAAAAGGAAGCATGAATATAAAAATAATGTGAGAAAACGTGTCTACATTTGCCAAAACGGTAAATGTGACCACAGAAGCTAATGTATGGCTGTGATAGAGACTGATAAAGTGTTGTTATTGTTTGACAAAGAACTGGTGCTGGTCTGCCAACTGAAACCATAATAGATCACACCTCTTCGGATATAACTCACCACCACAAACAACTACACTTAAGTGTCAGCCTAAAACTTCACGAAGAAGGTTAATGAGATTAATCTGAGGAAACTCGGATGCCGTCTGACCTTATCAAAGTATTTACAAAGCAGAGCTTTAGTTTCCGAGCCGGAGAGGTTGGAGAGTTTGGCCATCAGGTTCATCTCCCACTGGGTTAGCATGCTCCCTGACGCCCGCAACTGCCTCTGCCTCTGGGTGATCGCCTCGTTTTTGTACTCGATAGCAGCATCCAGAGCCTCAATGGCCTCGTCCAACTGGAACAGTGTTCGCTCTTCCTGATGTTTAACAGAGGACAGGTCAGCTTTAATAAATGGAATTTGCACACATGCAAACAAGGTTGGTTTGAAAGTTTTCATGCCAAAAGTTGCAGAATTCTAAAATTCTAAAGCATAAATTTGGCTAGGACTTTATCATTTCAGAAGTTGACATTTTAGAATTCTTAAAACTTGTAAGAATTCTAAAAGTTTAAGAATTCTAAAATTAAATGTCAGAAGTTGAACGTTTAGAATTCTTAAAACTTTTAAGAATTCCAAGTTTGACTTCAAAATTCTAAAGCATACATTAGGATGGATATTCTAATTCCAGAAGTTAAAATTTTAGTATATATACACATATATAAAAAATAAGTTTTAAGAATTCAAAAATTCTAAATCATAAATGTGGCTAGGAAATTCTAATTCCCGAAGTAACATTTTTTAGAATTCTTCAAACTTTAAGAATTCTAAAATTCAATTTCAGAATTTGAAATTTTAGAATTCTTGAAACTTTTAAGAATTCCAAGTTTGACTTCAAAAATAAATTTGGCTAGGATTTTCTAATTCCAAAAGTCACATTTTTAGAATTTTTTAAACGTTTACAGCACGAATACACTACACAACTTTTAAAATCTGAGGCATCATACTCTTGCTGACTGTAAATATATTTACAGAGAAAAACATCATACACTAAACCACTGAGGATCACACATTACTAGATTTTCAAGTCATTCCAAACACAACAAAGTGACGCAGAAACATGCAGCTTGTTGCTAGGAGACGCATGACAAAACAAACAATATTTTCTAAGATCTGTGTAAAATATCAAACATGTTTCATATCCTTTGATTGAATGGAATCATAGTGTAAAGCTAAAAAATCTTAGTGTGTGCACATCACACAATACATGATTTTAATGAAAATGTCAATTGTGACTACCGAAATTCTGCAGATTGGCTAGTGTTGACTCTTCCAGACAGCAAATTGGGGCAAAAATATGGGGAAAAGTTAAGTGTATTAAAAGTTAATTCTAGTGTATTCCAGTCTTAAGTTAGCTAGGACATCCTAACTCTACAAATTTAATAATTCTAGAATTCTGAAGTATGCAAATGAGACGCAGAAATATGTTCTGTGTGAACTGGCCTCAGATTTCTAATGTTGTAAACTTTAATAATTCTAAAAATCTGAAGCATGCAAATGAGATGCAGAAGAATATTCTGAGTGAACTGGCCTCAGATTTCTAATGTTGTAAACTTTAATAATTCGACAACTCTGAAGCATGCAAATGAGATTCAGAAAAATATTTTGTGTGAACTGGGCTTAGACTTATAATTTTGTAAACTTTAATATTTCTAAAATTCTGAAGCATGCAAATGAGATGCAGAAACAAATTCTGAGTGAACTGGCCACTGAATTCTAACGTTGTAAACTTTAATAATTCTAAAATTCTGAAGCATGCAAATGAGATGCAGAAAAATATCCTGTGTGAACTGGCCACTGAATTCTAACGTTGTAAACTTTAATAATTCTAAAATTCTGAAGCATGCAAATGAGATGCAGAAACATGTTCTGTGTGAACTGGCCACTGAATTCTAACGTTGTAAACTTTAATAATTCTAAAATTCTGAATCATGCAAATGAGATGCAGAAAAATTTTCTGTGTGAACTGGCCACTGAATTCTAACGTTGTAAACTTTAATAATTCTAAAATTCTGAATCATGCAAATGAGATGCAGAAACATGTTCTGTGTGAACTGGCCACTGAATTCTAACTATGTAAACTTTAATAATTCTAAAATTCTGAATCATACAAATGAGATGCAGAAACATATTCTGTGTGAACTGGGCTTAGAATTATAATTTTGTAAACTTTAATAATTCTAAAATTCTGAAGCATGTAAATGAGATGCAGAAACATATTCTGTGTGAACTGGCCTCAGAATTATAATGTTGTAAACTTCAACAAATCTAAAATTCAGAAGCATGCAAACGAGATGCAGAAAAATATTCTGTGTGAACTGGCCACTGAATTCTAACGTTGTAAACTTTAATAATTCTAAAATTCTGAAGCATGCAAATGAGATGCAGAAACATATTCTGTGTGAACTGCGCTTAGAATTATAATTTTGTAAACTTTAATAATTCCAAAGTTCTGAAGCATGCAAATGAGATGCAGAAAAATATCCTGTGTGAACTGGCCACTGAATTCTAACGTTGTAAACTTTAATAATTCTAAAATTCTGAAGCATGCAAATGAGATGCAGAAACATGTTCTGTGTGAACTGGCCACTGAATTCTAACGTTGTAAACTTTAATAATTCTAAAATTCTGAAGCATGCAAATGAGATGCAGAAAAATATCCTGTGTGAACTGGCCACTGAATTCTAACGTTGTAAACTTTAATAATTCTAAAATTCTGAAGCATGCAAATGAGATGCAGAAACATGTTCTGTGTGAACTGGCCACTGAATTCTAACGTTGTAAACTTTAATAATTCTAAAATTCTGAATCATGCAAATGAGATGCAGAAAAATTTTCTGTGTGAACTGGCCACTGAATTCTAACGTTGTAAACTTTAATAATTCTAAAATTCTGAATCATGCAAATGAGATGCAGAAACATGTTCTGTGTGAACTGGCCACTGAATTCTAACTATGTAAACTTTAATAATTCTAAAATTCTGAATCATGCAAATGAGATGCAGAAACATATTCTGTGTGAACTGGGCTTAGAATTATAATTTTGTAAACTTTAATAATTCTAAAATTCTGAAGCATGCAAATGAAATGCAGAAACATATTCTGTGTGAACTGGCCTCAGAATTATAATGTTGTAAACTTCAACAAATCTAAAATTCAGAAGCATGCAAACGAGATGCAGAAAAATATTCTGTGTGAACTGGCCACTGAATTCTAACGTTGTAAACTTTAATAATTCTAAAATTCTGAAGCATGCAAATGAGATGCAGAAACATATTCTGTGTGAACTGCGCTTGGAATTATAATTTTGTAAACTTTAATAATTCCAAAGTTCTGAATCATGCAAATGAGATGCAGAAGCATATTCTCTGTGAACTGGCCTCAGAATTCTAATGTTGTAAACTTTAATAAGTCTAAAATTCTGAAGCATGCAAATGAGATGCAGAAACATATTCTGTGTGAAATAGCCACTGAATTCTAATGTTGTAAACTTTAATAATTTTAAAATTCTGAAGCATGCAAATGAGATGCAGAAACATATTCTGTGTGAAAAGGCCTCAGAATTATAATGTTGTAAACTTTAATAAGTCTAAAATTCTGAAGCATGCAAATGAGATGCAGAACCATGTTCTGTGTGAACTGGCCACTGAATTCTAACGTTGTAAACTTTAATAATTCTAAAATTCTGAAGCATGCAAATGAGATGCAGAAACATGTTCTGTGTGAACTGGCCTCAGAATTAAAATGTAAATTATAAAATGATGCAAAGAAGTCTGGATGGGAATTTCAAAATTCTAACGCATTCAAACTTTATTAGGAAGTACTTCTACAATTCTGAATATCAAAGTGATTCCACCTCAGGAGAGAGCAGGTTGCCCTGTCTCAGTTTGTCGTCCAGCTCCACCCTCTGTTTGAAGAGCTGGTCCTTCTCCTGCCGGAGGTTGGAGATCTCCTGTCTGATCTGCTGAGAGTCCTGAGCACTGCTACTACGCAGAAGACCGTTCCTCTCAGTGAGCTCTCGTTCCAGAGACTCGATTCGGCTCGACAAGGTCAGCAGGTCTTTACTGAGAGCCTGCAGAGAAAACAGACCATACCACCTTTTAAAGACTCATAAAGGGGTGGATGATGGGACGAAGCAAAGCCACAAAGTTTACACAGACCTGACTAGAGCGGAGCTTTTTGGATTCCAAGCCACTGCGTTCCAAGAGCAAGGCCTCTTTTTTGGCTAAGATCTCCTCTCTCTTGGTCAGCTCTCCTTCCAGGTCATCAAGGCCACGCCGTTGACCCAGAACCTTCTCCATTTCCTCATCAAGCCAGCGTTTCTGCTCCTCTATCTTCTGCTCAAACGTAGGTATTTTGAATGTAATTATTTATATATTAAACTGCTTCTGAAACGTCACATGATAAAATACATTTTGCATTCCCTTACAAAACAAACATTTATGGTAATATACTGGAAAATATAATGCAATATACAGTATTACATAATGCATTTCCAAATATGGAAAACTAGTGCTTATATTTACATTTTTCAATATACTGCAAAATATGCACTGTATTTACAACAGATTTCTAGTTCCCTGCATGCTTTGCTTCAGACTGTTAAAGGAAATGAAGTGTTATTTAATGTTTTCCTCAATATTTTTTTTATGGGGGAGATTTGTTAGTGTTTAATGTTCTATTATTTTGGAATTTAAAAGGTTTTCTGGTATGTCTGAGATTTTGGAGTTACTATTGTGCTGAAGAGAACAGCCCGATGTCAGGTTGATGATTGGCCGAACACCATCAAGACAATAATTACTATATTTTAAAAGTAATGGCTGTGCACTCCTCAGCACTGTGATTGTCTCTTGGCTAAATACTTAAGTACATGCAGATGTGCTTGTGCTTTAGTTAACTAGCTCAATATGATGAAATATTTATAATGTAAACGATTAAATATACGTATATATTTAATAAAAAATATATTTATATATAAAAATTATATATTTATATATAAATATATAATTTTATATTTCTCTATATATGCTGCATAAGTAAATATATCTGTATTATAATAAATATAAAAATAATGTATTATAAAATAATGTATTATACATAATTATATATATATATATATATATATATATATATATACACACACACATCTATATATTATGAAGTGTATTACTGAATATAAAATTATGTATAATACATTATTATGATATATTAGTAAATATAATGTTACATATTTTTCAATATATGAATAGCAATTCCTCATGCATTATTCAATATATTCTAATATATTACCACAATATATTATTCTGTATATTTTCAAATATACTTTTAAACCATTAAAGGTGGTTATATTGGTCATTCAATTGATAGGGACATATATTTTTTAGGGTTCAAGGGTTTATTCATCAGATGCTGTTATTCAAAGTGGAACTGCATTCAAGGTATACATTTTAATTCCCTAGAAATCAAACCCACAACCATGACCTTAGAAATAGCAAATGCATTGCTTCAGTGTAAATAACATTCAAAACCTGTATCAATATCAGGGTAAGAGGGATGTGGGCAACAAAATGAACTGTTGAAACAAGCTATTGAAATGTACCCTCAGCCACAAAGAAACAATAATAAAAGTCTTTGGAACGTCAGTCAAACTATTAAACACCATGTCTGAGTAAACAGATCTAAAAATAATATTTTATTGCTAGGTAATAGCTGTGGGAAGGGTTTGATGAAAAGAGCATGATTTGGTTTTTCTGTCTGAACCCACCTGCTGTTCCTCTAGTGATACGACCGAGCCGTTACTTCCACTTCTCCTCTGTCGCTGGAAGGCAGCGATTTCCTCCGTCTTAATCCTCAGAATTTTCTGCTGCTGTTCGTTCTTTATCTCCAGCTCCTTTGAGAAAGAGAAAGACACTCTTTGGTTAATCATTCACTATTGAAAAACAAGAATAAGTGGGAGGCTGAGGTTTCTCTGAAGATTAGTATTGTTCAGAATACAGAAACAAAAATGACTAATGCTGGCCCTTACAAAGCAGAACTGGTGTGGGAGAAAAAAAACCTGCGATGAACACACTGCAAAAAAAAAAAAACCATTAAATGTGTAATTTCTGCAACACCAGCGGCAACGCGCAAAGAAAGGCCTGATCTGAAGTGAAGACAGAAAAATAGCATATTTTTTAAAATATTTTATGAAGAAAATTTGTGTTTGTTTTATACACGACCATTTGAAAGTTAGGTTTTTTTGTTCATGTCTCCAAAGAAGTTTCACCAAGGCTGCATCCATTTGATAAAAATACAATGAAACAGTAATATTGTGAAATATCATTACAATTTTAATCTGTTTTAAAATGTTATTTACTCATGTGATGCAAAGCTGAATGTTCAGCAGCATTACTACAGTCTTTAGTGTCACGTGATCCCCAAAAAAATCATTCTAAAAAGGTTTAGATTTGCTGCTAACGTAACTGAAATACATTTTTCAAGATTCTTTGATGAATAGTTTAAAACAACAGCATTTATTTAAAAAAATATATATTTTTTTTACCGTCACTTCTAAAGTCAGTCACTTAATTTCTCTCTATCAGAAAATATCTTACTGATCCTCACAGTTTTAAACGGTAGTCCATTTTATATTTTATGAAGTAAAACCACAGTATCTATCTAAAAATAATTATTTCTGCAATTCCACTGCTCGTGAAGCATAAATTACACACTTCACTTTCAATTACATCTGTACTCTGGATTTCTCCCAGGCTCTGTTCCCCACCTGCGCCGATAATAGACCGAACGCAACACTGAGGTCGATCACACAGCGAATCGGCTCACCTTGACTCTGTGCTTTCCTTTCTGCATCTCGCTCTCCAGCCGTCTCTTCTGCTGGCTCTCCTCTCGCAGGCGGCGCTGCAGAAGGTCCTGCTGCTGCTTCATGTTGTGTACGTTCCTCTCCAGCTCCTGCACACGGCGCTCGCTCTGTGCAGACAGGGAGGCCAGCTGCGCAGTGTCCCGCTGCTTCTGCTTCAACACCTGAAGGCACAGCACATGTGCAGGGCTATATTTACATTGACAGAAAGAATCGAGTTTTGCATTGAATTTGTAATACCAGAATATACAAAATGATGAACTGAAGGTTGTTGGCCGAAGGTTCTTCAAATATGATAACTGAACCTGAATGGTGCTCTTTCAATAAACTATGACAGTCCTTTTGTCATTATATTTTGTATTTGGTTTCAATTTACAAATGTTCTGAACGTAATACTTTAAGGCACTCCATGTAATTTTTCACCATTAAAGGTTGTTTATTCAAAACAAAGGCGTAGCTTGATGATCATGAGAGTTGTTGTCTTCACCTCTACAGCCAATATTCATGGATAACCGGAAATGTATTCAAGATTTATTAGCAGGCCGTTGGAGGGATTACTAATGAGAGACAAGTGCGACACATGGTTCGAGAGCAGTGGAGCTTTTATTATGCTGCAGATGCCGCTTCCGTTTCTTCCAGTCATGCGTATGTTGGGTAGCACACAGCTGTTTTATCATATTGGATACATTTGTGTGTGTTGAAAGTTGTCATAAAGCCACTCTGTGCGTTCGCTCGGCGGCTACGGTATGAGACACTTGTTGCACACTGCAGTGAGCTAGATCGATATTAGGCATGGTAAATATGGTACTCGTGGTTAATCAGGAAAATGAGATTTAAACAAAAAGACTAACTGTATTGAGCTGTATAACAATGACTAGTTTTCAGCAGAGCCGGACAGTAACGGAGTACATTTACTTGAGTACGGTACTTAAGTACAATTTTGAGGGATCAGTACTTTACTCAAGTGTCCTTTTTGGGGAGTACTCATGACATGAAGTATATTTGAGAGGCAAATATTGTACTTTTTACTCCACTACATTTCTATCCATAATTGTGAGTACCTGTTACTAGTTCTAAAAAAAATAAAATTAAATAAAATCTCGGAAACCCTCATTTTGTTGTATCCCTCTCAAACGTGATTGGATTGTGCAAACGCCCCTGATTGGGACAGCCTATCAGCAATCAGCTTTCCGCCAAAGTCAACTCCATGATCAGATTTAGATAAGAGACGAAACAATGGATGAAGACACAGCAGGTCCATCCCGGGAATGTGCCAAACCTTGGCCCCATCTCACCAGACTATTTTAATTTTCTTAAATGTTAAATAAAGCACAGGGTAAAAAGAGAAAAATAACTTAATTTTAATTTTCAATTCCTTTTACATTCTCCAAGGTATTACCATTAACATTTTTCAGAACTCCATGCAGGACGTTTCCATAAAATGTAAGCACTGTGGCAGTGGTAAATGCAATATTTAGAAAATGTACTTTTGATACTCAAGTACTTTTAAAAACAAGCACTTCAGCCCTTTTTCTTAAGTAGACATCTGACTGTTTTAGTTTTACTTGTACTTGAGTAAAAGTACAAATACCCCTTGCTAAATGTTACTCAAGTAATAAAGCTGTGTACTCTGTCTGCTTCTGGTTTTCAGTCAATGAATATATACAAACAGTTGATCACCTGTCTAACAAAACACATAATATATTAAAGCGTCTCTGGTGTTTCCATGGTTTCTACAAAATATAAACGGAAATTGAGGGTGTCATTGATAGGCAACGCACGGACACGGTCCGTGCCCTGGTTAAAACTGCTTATTTTTCTATGTGGGATAATGTAGGTACACAAATCAACAAAACATATAACATTGTTCTAGTGTTTTTTTGATCCAAAAATCTTACATAGTGTGACTTTAATGCTGTTTAATACCTAAAAAAAACATTTATATAATTTTTCTATATTTTGTAATTTGTGTCTTTGCTTCTCATTTTATGATTGTTTCAGTTCATGCGGTAGAAATACAATAAATTCTGATATTGTGACAACCTTAAAACCTTTATAGAGAAACGTCACTCAAAAGAGATTTCCATAATGATGCCTTTCGGCAAGGCAAAGCTGCCAGACACAGACCTGAACTTTGCTCTGAGCAGCTGCGATTTTCCTCCTGCACTCCTGAGCTTTAGAGCGGTCAGCGCCATTACGGCCACCCTGAACCTCCAGGTCCTGCAGCTGCTTTTGTGCCTCTGTAAGCTCCGCACGGGCCTGCTCCGCCTCGGCTTCCAGCTCAGTGATCTTACAACTGTACTGCCTGTTCAAGGCCTGGGCATCCTTACCTACAGAGAAAGACAGGACGTGATCATTATTACACAACACTGATAATGATAAACTCAATGGACGATTAGAAAAGTTTGGGGTCTGTATGTTTTAGAAGACAAGGATGCATTAAACTGAACAAATGTGACATTCATAATGTTACAAAATTTCAAATAAATGCTGTTCTTTTGATATTTCTATTCATCAAAAAAATCCTAGGATCACAGTTTCCACAAAAATATTAAGCAGCAAAAATGTTCTCAACATTGATAATAATAATAAGAAACGTTTTTTTTAGCAGCAAATCAGCATATTAGAATGATTTCTGAAGGATCATGTGACACTGAAGACTGGAGTAATGATGTTAAAAAGATTCAGTTACTGTACATTGAATAAATGGACATTTGAAACTCAATATAAATAGTAAATATATTAAAAAAAACGTTATTAGAAATTGTAATATATCACAATATCACTGCCAGTTTCAGTTTTTTATCAAATAAATGTAGCCTTGGTGAACATAAGAGACTTCTCTCAAAAATTAAAAAAAAAATCTTATCAACACAGACCTTTTTGAGCTGCTACTGTCGTGCCACTTTCTAATGCATTGCAAACAATGCATTTTATAGAAAATTCAATAGGTTTTCTTTTTGGATATCTATATCAAATCATAAGCCTCATTAAAATGTACCATCTGTTGGAGTCGTGACCTAGCGGTTCGCATACATGCTTCGATATATTGAGTTGGGGTGTCGTCAAGTGAACATTTACAGATAAGACTATAAAATATCCTTTAAGCAGCTCTCAGGCACATTAAACAGCACAAGCATCTGTCTCAAAATACTGGGCACATGAAACTCAATGAGCTTTTTTAAAGCATTTAATATAACATGCTCCCACGCTTTGGGCTTGTATCGTGAATGTTTCCGCTGCAGCTAAGCTCTGTGACCTCTGCCATTTTGTTTCAAAGAAATGTGCTGTAAAGTGGTACAACTCATGAAGATTCCTGACTGCACAGACAGATGGTGGAATCGGTTATTAATACTTTTTCCATTATTCATTATTAATGATTTTATTCATTAGTCATTACACATTGTTTGTGCGCATAAAATGCTGCAGGGACGACGTATTTCGTGACGGATATGTCATTATTTTTGTAGGCCAACCTGGAAGGCCAACCTCCATTGGCCTCTGGATTATTTACATTTACATTTTATTCATTTAGCTGACACTTTTATCCAAAGCGACTTACAATTGCTATATAGGTCAGAGGTCGCACGCCTCTGGTGCAACTAGGGGTTAAGTGTCTTGCTCAGGGACACATTGGTGTCTCACAGTGGATTCGAACCCGGGTCTCTCACAGCAAAGGCATGTGTCTTATCCACTGAGCCATCACCACCCCGATTATTGCAGACAATACAATTCAAAAAGACTGTATACTTGCATTTCATCAACTAAATAAACAGTTTTCTTAGTAATTATTCTGTAAATTAAAAGACAACCTATTATGTAAAATTCACTTTTATATTATTTTTGAACATATTTATGTGTCTGCAGTGTGTGTACACAATCAGCCTATTGTGAAAAAAAATCCATCCACTCCATTTGTTATTTTCCCCATAAACCTGAAACTGAACCTCGCCAGAGCATTTAATAGCAGCATTCAAGAAATTAGTGATTTTGTTTTCCTTTAGTTGTTTGTACCATATTAACAGCATATATACAGCAGTAGGTACTGTATATTACGCTGCGTCACTTTAAAACACAGATCTAATAAACATGTGATTTCTTTCCCACAGACATAACCAACTGTGTTTGTGAACTTTGTGTGTTATTGACTTTTAATGTAGTAGCTAACCTGTTTTGACCAGCTCTTTAATGAGTTCCTCCTTCATGCGGATGGTGATGGAGAGCTCCCTGATCTTCTGCTGTGCCTGGAGAAGCCCTCTCTCCGAGCAGAACTCACCTCCAAAACCTCTCACGCTCTCCCACACAGAGCTCTCGCCAATGCTGCTGTTAGCTGGAGAATCAATCAAAACAAATCAAAGTGAACCGACTGAATGCTGGAAAGAAACTACTGGGGGCCGAAATCCTTCGTTGAAGCACTGAGACCCTCAAGGCTTGTCAAATGTTTAACTCACATGTGCGTCTAGTGCATTGTATGCCCAGAGGATGGCCAAGCCCAAGAGCCTGAGGCAGCGGAGCCCTGGCAGAGGATCCTTGGAGCAATGGAGCTTCTTTTTTCGTCCAGGTTACATTCATAGACCTGACAAAAAATGGCAATGCTAAACAGATTTCAAAATACAGCAGATAGCCATTTCTTCTCAATTAAAGGGGCTATACGTAAAATTTAGGAACCCTTGTTATAAGCGACACCAGTGGCTGTTAAGTGAACTGCAGCCAGCAACATATTCCTCGTTCTAGACTGAAAGTGATTCATGGCCCAGATGTACTCATCTGCAAACTAATTTTTCATTTTGTTTGCTTAAAAGTAAAAGGAACTTGGAAATATCTTTGCAAAGATATACTTTTAAAAAACATCCTGACGCTGAGAACGACGTATTGATGAATATGTAAATATGTTCAGCATGCTTTCCTCTAAACAAAATAAACAACAAAAATGACAGCGGTGGGAAAACAGGAAGCACCTAATCATAGCAATTTGACTGCAATTCAACCAGCATTATGTCGAGTCCTTCAGTCCGAAGGCTTTCCGACAACCTAGAAAGTCGAAGGTGATCTCGTTTTTTAAAGTTTCGATACAAGCGGATCACACATTATCAATACAAAAAGTGATCAATACATGGAAATTCTAACACACAGCCCCTTTAACTTTCTCATCAGCATTAATCTTCCATACTTGCGTTTATCTCTGGTGGTTTGAAATGTCCGTCTTCATCTCTGTTCACTCCTTTTCCAGAAGTTTCATAGTATGCGTTTCCATGTCCGCTGTCCCCACTGGGTCTGGTCTGAAAAATGAGCTGCTGTCCACTGACGGACCCATTTCAACCTAAAAAACAGAACATTTGGATAAATGTAAAAAAAAAAAAAAAAACATATTTTAAAACAAATAAAAACAAATAATTTGAATTTATATTAATGTAAATCTATATACAATTTCAACAAAAAAAATGCTAATGAACTATATAATTTGGCAGAATAATTTATTTTATTAGTATATTTAATAAACTAAAAAAATATTTGGATATCAAAAGAATTTCAAATAATTTTGGGGTTGTTAGGGCACCAAATATACTGTAAAATATATAATATACAAACACGACTGCACATCATTTGAATTCATATTAGTGCTCCAAAAATTTGCTCACCAAGTGTCACAAGATCTTTCAGAAATTATTCTAATATGCTGATTTGCAGCTCAAGAAAGATCTTATTATTATGTTGAAAACAAAGGTGTGCTGCTCAATATTTCTGTGGAAATATATATTTTTATTTTAAAAAGGAATTTATTTGAAATGGATTTTTTTGTAACAATGGAAAAACGGTTTCTGCCAATAATGAATTTAATGCGACCTTACTAATAAAGTATTAATTAAAAAAAACCAAAAACTTTTGAACAGTAGCTTTAGATTACATTAATAATCTTGACTAGGGCTGTAAAATATGAACACTAGAATGTGAACCAAAGTCACTATAAACTTATGTGTTTCTGTTGTTTTATCCTCCTTTTGCAATTGACTAATTTCAATAAACAAAAACAAATAATATAAGGAACAAATGCTATATAGTGAACAAACAATATAGGCAAGTGTAAAATCAGCAAAGTTACTTCATCACTGCTGTTACAGCTGATATATTCTCGTCACTGCCATCTGTCATTTCGGAGAATGGCTGGTGCCAAGCGAAAGCAAACAAGGCTTAACACACAGCCGTTCATGGTTATTGCTTTAATAAATAACCCTGTCTCCAGACAATACATCAAATGCCAGCTTCTCATTCAACAGGCATGAAAAATAAGCATCAAAAACTGGGTTAGGGTGCATAATTGTCTGTTAAGAAATCACAGTGTTACCTTGGCAATTAGCAGAATTTGCTTGGATCAAAGAATATGTGGGTGAAGTAAAAACACAGATTTAGACAACGTG